TTTTTATATTGAGTACCTGCGTTTATATAAGGACACCCCTAAGACGTGTTTTTTGCCTTAATTTGAAACAGCCTTCTTCTCTGAGTAGGCTTGTCTGCACGCTAATCTTAAAGATGTTAAAGTAACAAAGTCCTAAGTGATGTGAGAAAGCTAGGCTGCTGGGAGAAGTCAGGGGCCATGAGATGGCTATAGAATAGGCATATTTGTATTCCTAACTTGATGTACTTTGTTCTGCCACTTTTAGGGGGAATATTTTCCATTACGAGACCGGTATTTTTAGGGAAAAGTTTTTCAGAACTCTATAAAGAGAGGATAACATTTTGTTTTGTGAATCTACTAAGATGGCATAACAGTTTTCATGACATTGACAAATACCTCACTTGTAAAAGTAGTAAGAAAATTGTCCTACAATTGAACATACAGAAGGACGATGGAAGAGGAACAGTTTCTTTGCGGGGAGTTAGCACAGGCTGGGTCTGCCCCTGCTCCCTGAGCCAGGATGCATCCTGCAGCGTAGGGCAGTTGGGGCACTGCCGCTGGCTCTAGCAGCTGGAAGCCTGCAAAGCCTGAGCTGGATGAAGCGGTGCACCTGTACCTCCAGACACTTCTTATTTGCACGGGTGCAACTGTGAAACTTCCTGGGGTCGTAATGGGCTATGAAGTATTGGGAGACTCTGATGTTACTGGGGCGCTCCAAACACAGGGGTATCGATGTTCATACCTCAGCGCCTTCTCTTTCACCTTGCAGCATTGTGCTGGGGAGCGCTCAGAAATCAATCCGATTTGTTCCTTGGATTGCAAGTCATAGAATGCTTTATTTTAAACTAGCAGAATTAGCGTATAGTTGGCAATCACAAGCTTATTAATCACGTTTATACTCTGATATTCACAGTATTTTCCAAACACCCCCTCATGTTTTCCCTTCCTGTTACTAATTAGCAAAGATTTTCATTCCCTACATCCAACCTGTGGCTGGCAGGAACTGCAGCCGTCAGCTACAACGGGACGCTTGGTGGAGAGCTCACAGCTCACCGCATCAAACTAACTTTATCTCACAGCGCCAAACCATCCTCTTACATTTTTGTATCCGCAGCACCTCTCTACACTATTGGCATAAAGAAAACCTGCCAGAACATTTAGCGAAAAAGAAACAGCACTAACTCCACGCAGAGCAAGAAGAGGTTTAGCCCAAAGGCGGCATTTTCCCAGGGTTTCCAAGCAATCCGCCTTTGCCATGGGACGCGCCGGGCTTGGATAATTAAACCCTTGAAGGGAAAAAGTGTTTTGCCCCAGACGCGGGGACAGGGGCTGGCTCGGGAGCCCGGGGCTGCCGCCGTGCCCGAGCCCGCTGCGCACCCTCCTCGCGCTACCTTTAGCGGGCAGAAAACCTGCGAGCCGCCCGGCAGCCTCGTACCTCGAGCCCCCCAACCCAGCCTCCCCTTCCCTCCCGCTCCGCTCGGCGGCAGCCACCGGTGCCGGGGGGCGAGCCGGGGGGCGAGCCGTCCCGCCCTTACCGATGATGATGGCACAGGCGCTGCCCAGCCCGATCTCCTTCTGCAGCGCCACCCGCGCCGGGCCGCCGGGCCGCTCCCCGCGCTGCTCCCCGCCCGCCATCGCTGCCCCGCGCCGCGCTGCGCTGCCCCGCTCGGCCCCGCGCCGCGCATGCGCCGCCCCCGCTGAGGGGACGCTGAGGGGACGCTGAGGGGGGCTGAGGGCAGGGCGCTGGGGCTGGTGCGGGGCGAGGCGTTAGCGGCAGGCAGCGGGAGGAAGGGGGCAGCCCCGGCTCAGCCGCTGTCCCGCCGCCTTCCTTCAGTCACACACAGTGCGGAGATTTGAAGGAAAAAGCCGCCCCGACCCGCGCCGGTGCGCTGTGGGCACAACCCGTGCCGGTGCGCTGTCTGCCTCGACATCGGTAACATCACTGAGGCGGCGGCAGGAGGTGTGAAGTGTTTCTGCCTTTATTTGCCTTCCCGGTCTCTGGGCTGAGGGGAAAAAGCGCACAAAAAGCCCCGTACAGCGACTCCGTGTGTGCCGCTGTCCATACCGCCTCGGTCCTGGGGGCTCACCTGCGGCCGCCCTGCCCTCGGACAGCAATTAATGCTGAGGTAAATTTAGGTGAGATAATGTCCCTTAGTAACTCACATCGCTCCCTGAACAAGCTGCTTCACAGAGTGACAGTGGCTCACGTTTTCTGTGCTCTCAGATGAAGTCAGAAAGTTAAACCCGAGGTTGAGAGCTCTTCTGTTCAAGCTGTGACTGCCAGGGGTTTACTGAGGGAAATTCCCGCTCCTTGCATATAAGCCAAGGTAAATGCCACCCTGAGAGCAGTTCTGTGTTCATCGTGTGGGCCCTCCTCACTTGAGGGAGTATCCCCCTGTGGGTGACCTATTCTGAAAGTGCAGAGGCAGAAACATTTCCTCACAAGAAAATGTGGTGTCCAGGAGATGTAGGAAGAAGGTAGGCATGGGCCAGTGGAGTGGCCAAGAGAGAGATGGAAATTGGTCATGGGGCACTGGTGTCAATGGGAGGAGGAAGGTCTGGGATTGTAAGACCTTGGCAAAGAAAAGTGGCAAGTTGCTATGCTGACGTTGGTCTGATTTTGTTTGACTTTAGAATGAAAAGTATGGCCTGGAAACTGGTGAGTCATCTGAGGGAATCAGTGGACTGTTCTCACAAAGCTGATAATCGTAAGTGATTTTGCTTCATAAAGCTGCTTTATGCTGCCACTCTTATAGAAAGATTTATTGATTTTTCGGAGACTGAGACTTGTTTTGTAAATTGATCTATCACTCCACAGAATTGTTGTTTCTAAACGAATTGCCTCACTAACTACTTCTAAAATGCTCTTTTATTGAATTACTATGTACTTTTTGTAAGGAAGCATTTTACAGGAAGATTTTCTTTCTGAACTACATAAATGGTAGTACTGTTCTCATTTTAAAGACAGGGAAACGTGAAGGCTACAAATTAAAGTTCAGATGCTCAAAAGCAACCTGATCTTTTATGTATTTCTCCTAAGTGGTTTAAATGATCATTTCAGAGCTATGCTTTTCACTGGCAGCAACTGAAGTTATTTCTAGTACCTCTGAAAGTCGCTATATGCTAATTTTATATAGGTATTATAATTAACTCAGTGCAAATTTATCTGTGACAGTCTATTGTTTTGTTCAAGATAAAAAGAATATTGGATAAAACTTCATCAAAGTACAAAAATCAAGAAATAAAGAATGAATCTGTTGTTAACAGTTACTAACTCTATTACTGAGTTCTAAGAGCCTGATGATGAAGTTTAAGACCATTTAACCTTTACAGATCAACCACAAAATCTGTTAAGCGAATGACCACTTAGAAGGATAACACTACATGCAGTTTCTTTTGCTGTGGTAGAAATGTTGGTTTGCTCTGAAATATGTGCATAATCTTTGTGGTTTTGTGCGGAAGATAAAAATCCCAGTCAGCCCTCTTATGGTGATTAGCAAGAAACAGTGTGCGCTGGCTGTGGGATGATGAAAACAAATACTAGAATTAAATTAATTCTAATAATCTTCTCTAACTCTACTGTGCAGTGGCTGCAGTTCTTTTTTTTTTTTTTGACTCCTCTCACCCTTACCCTTTAACATTCTGACCAATTTAGGGGACTTCGCCAAGGAAAATAAAAATATTAAACAATCATACACGTGTATGCTCTGCTTATTGATATAAATATCTTATTCCATGACTGTTCCTTCTTGTTGAAAGACATGAGGCACATCTCTGTGATTTGATTCATATGTTTTTAAGTATTTTACTGGTATTAACTTTGGAAAAACCTAACAGAAAAGCACTGGGAAAGTCTACTTAGGAGAGGCACACAACAAAACATTAAAACTGAAAAAAGCAGAGGAACCTTCAGAACATTCTTTCTTCCCATTCGATTTCATATTGGGTGCATTTTGAACAAGGCTAAAAGAACAGTGCTGGCACAGGAGAACCACAGGGTGGAATCTCATCTCCATGCCAGGAAGACTTTGCAACAGAAATGCTAATGAATGGGCACATCTGATAGTGGCTCAGCAAGGCAAGGAAGTCATGGAGTATACCTTGCAGGTTCAACACCAGATCCTGTTTTGGGAGTTCCACGTTTGAGGGCAGCATCCCTCCCCTGCCTTTGTGTGGGGCTCTTCCCAGAAGGACCAGGAGGCCTTTGGCTGCTGGGCAGTGTGCGTTCCCAGGGCAGCTGCTCTCTCTGAGCCTCCTATGGGAAAGACCTAAACCCTCAGCTGCCCACCCAAAGAAGGATCTTATGAACATCCATTTGAAGAGACCTGCACAGATAAAGGTAGTCTTTTTCTCAATATGCACAGGATTTTTTGGTAGGTGCTTTTTTGTGATGTCTGCCAGAATGTACTTCCTACTGCAGACAATAAGCTTGTAAGAAGCTTAGCCTAATTACCTGGTTGTGGGGGTAACAAACATGGTAGGCAAACAAGGTTGGATGCAACTGTGCCGGTGATGGAGGCTGAGGATGGCTGTTGGGCAGTAGCGGCGCACTCTCTCTGCGCTGTTTGAGGCTGAGTACATGGTGTGTGGGAAAGTGGTTATAGGCAAGGGGATACAGCCAGGAAACCCATCTGGGTAATTTAATTTAGGAGTGTAGCCTTGGATCCTTGTATACGACTTCATTTTCTCCTCTGTCTTTGGAAAGAAGATAAATTCTTTACCTAAATCTGTATAAAGAACTTTGATTTACTGTTTCTTTTCCCAGTGTGTGCATAAGTAATGACTTCCCTTTTTAAAGTTTAAGTGTTTTGCTGTTGCTGAAGGAGAAAGCAGGTGGCAGTTTACGACATGAGCATTCGATAAGCCAATATCCATAGCAAAACACAGGAGTGTAAAACAGCAGTGGTCCAGAAACCTGTTGGAAAAGACAGCAATGACAAAGGTTGCCCTCATTAGCTGCCAAAAAAGAGTTATTTATTTATTTATTTAGGCTGAGTGCCTGCCTGTTTCACTGCGCTTTCTGCATGAGGGTGAAGAGAGGATTTTGCTCGTCACTTTTTTGTGGTAGTATTGGCTGCTTATTTAAGTTGTGCATTCTGTCCTATGGCTAATAATGTTCCTAAATAAGCAAGTCAGAGGGCATGTATGTTCTAATTAGTAGTTATCTTAGACAGCTTTCAGTGCAAAGACTTCTTTTAAATTGTTTTGGATCTGAACGTACTGTATCTACTTGAATGACGAAATGTTAGTAAGCAAAAAAGCCAAAGTTCTTTGTAGGAAGGCAATTGCTGCATAGCAACTGCACAGAGAGGATGCAATGAAGCTTGCATGTGTTCTTTTGTTGCTATTTTGGTCCTCCTTTTCTCAATGTTCTGAAATGTACAGAAATTATTAAAGTTGTTGGAACCAGTCACTTCATTCATTGCTACTTATACTCTTAAAAAAAAAAGAAAAAAGAAAAAGCAGGGGAAAACATTGCCATTTTGGTGTTTGTATTTTGGGAAGAAATAATAATGGAATTTAATATGACAGCTAAGAAGGGATGCTCTGAGTTTTCAAATGAATATAGTCTTTAACGTACGTGGAGCATATTAGTAGAGAGCTAGGATAAAGCAATGCACAGATTGTCTATGAAATTATACTCTTTCCAATCTGACTTTTTTTTTTGTACCCTTCCAAACAAATTTCTATTTTCTTAAAAGATATCCAGCTGTTCAAAATTGAAACATACTACGACTGTTGCTGAAAATAGTTGTTCAACTTTCAATTTAATGGGGTCACCATAAACAGCAGCTGGGAAATAGTTACATGGAAGGATAAAGTATCTTGTAGTGCATCTTTAAACAAAGCAGTAGGCTGACTGATTTAGCAAAAGGCAATTTGGGGAGCAATGGGATTGTAAAGTGAATCTTAATTGCTAATAAACTTGAAAGTAAGGTTTACCATGTTTGCTTGATTGTTACAAATTTCATATCATTGCAAATTTTATTTATAAAAAAAAAACCATCCTTTTACTTTTGTAACTTCCTAAATGATTAAGTGAGGGCTGAGTAACCAGGATGTGGGGAGCATTCTTTACCAAGAAGTATGAAGATCCTTCACACCAGACACTGCCCTACCCTTGAGCTTCAGAACAGTTCAAATGTGGTGTGCCAAGAAGTGGAGTTTTCTGCTCCATAACGGTTAGTGTGGGTGCTGAGAACACAGAGCTATACATGGGAATCCAGCAACCATCGTTAGCCAAAAAGATCTTGTGGCGTGCAGGCGGTGAGAGGTCTCTGCATGTAATCAAACATTTGATTGTCTCCTCTCATCTGAAGTTTTTGAGACTAGTCACATCCCCTTCAGTAAGGGACAGGATTGTCACCAAGAGCTGGAGTTAGCAAGTACATGGTCTTCAGGCTTACAACAGGGGCTTTTGAGTGGATTGATCTTTAAGAGTGTGTTGCAGGCTTGCTGAATGGAGATCTGGATGAGATGATCAGAAAAGTAAGCTGAGAACTGGGTCATCTGTGAAGCTCTCTTCTGAATTCTGCAACGTGTTGCATTGTTTGAGTGTTGGGAACACCTTAGTTGGTAAGGCTGACTGGACTGACTGGTTTCACTCTTTCATGGTCCTTTGCAAGATCTGGGAACTTGAATCCAGTGATTTAGAAGGTTCAGGAGATTCTTCAGGCCATATCACTGTGTTTTGAGCTCCTGTAGGAGGGATGTGACTGTACTCAGTGAAGGCTCACCTAGCATTAATAACTCCTGCCAAAGACCCTGCAAAAGACAGTAATGTACCAAAAATCAGCTCACTTTGAGTAGCAGGCTTTCACCCTTAGATTCTGGTAACCAGAATATTTGTTGTCTTTTAGGTAAATTATTCATCAAGTGTGAACTGCTGAACACCTAGCTATCTGTGTCAAGACTTTGTATTTCTAAATTTCCAGCTGTATAAAACAGGCCATTGTATGTTAAATTATATCACTGCTTGAAAGACATTTCATGATGGCTCATAAGTAGATGAGTGTAAGGAGATTATGTAATGAGTTGTTTGTAGGTTGTTGATGAATTAGGTTTCCAGAGACAGGGTTAATGAAAGAACTCCCTTTCAGTTGAGCGCTCATACAGTTAGCATGTGCTGGAGTACATGGGGATGCAGTCATATAGGGGACTTGAGAGGATCAAACATTTGTTTTCTGATTTTTTTAAAAGATCTCTAGCAGCACGGTAGTATTTTAACTGTAATGACTAAAAAGCTTTTCTCAATCATCAATTTATTTTTTCTTTGTAATGAACATAATTCTATTTTTTCTTCCTTGGTGGTCAGGAGGAAATTGACTCATTTTCTGTAACAGCACGCTTTAGTTTCTTTCTTTCTCTCTTTCTCTCTTTCTCTCTCTCTTTCTCTCTTTCTCTCTTTCTTTCTCTCTTTCTTTCTCTCTTTCTTTCTCTCTTTCTTTCTCTCTTTCTTAAGAAAGGTTCAGAAACCCTGTTCTTACTGCTTTCATCTGGACTGGCTTCAATTTCTGAAGATGGTGGCTTAAGCTGGACATAGCATTGAAGCTAATGCATTGCAACTGCTAACTAGGTTGAAATAGTCACCTGCATTTCTTCCAAGTGACACTTCAAGTGTTGTTCTGTTGGCTCAGGTTTTTGGTTTGAGGTTAACCGTGGCGTGTTTCGCTTCCCTTTCAGAAGGAAAAGTCCCACCATGTTCTTTTCCTTCTACATTGCTACTTACCCTGTCCATCCCTATACTGCATCTGTGTGCTAGATCCTTTGGTTCTTCTTGGACCAGTCCATTAGTTGAATATAATTGCCCTATGATATCTCCGTATCAGTTGAGATTATCCAGAATTACATCACATGTTTCTTCTTTCAGTTCAGTTGCTCTCTGCTTGGTGCACCCAAAAATTATTGGTCTCTGGTCACTCAAAATAAATAGTATTTGTCCGTGGATAGATTCTAGGAGACTTACCTCGAAATTTCTTTCCCATTTGTCAGTACATTATGAATAACAATTGAGAGAGCTTTTTTTTTTTTTTTCCCCCACAAACTAGTTTCACATGTAACTTACAACTCTCACTTGGCTTTTATTTCTTATTATATTTCTCATGAATATAATACTTTGGGCAGAGCTGAAGGCTCTACTTTCTAAAGGTAATTAGTTTGTGTCCACCCTCCCCTTTGCTCGCTAACACTAATTCCATCCTCATCGGACACAAAAACCGTGACTCGAAATGCTGTGCACGCCTGTCATCCTCTGAGAAGCCCAGTAGATGGCACTCTGGTCCTGTAACTCAGTATTTTAAAGCCAAAGTGGTCACAAGTGTCCCCGTGCTGCTGATGATTTTAAGTAGTCGTTTCTCAAAGTCTGGCCTCTAAGCTTGAAATTAAAATTACTGTGGGACTATTAAAATTAAACTAACTATTGAAGTACAAGTGTTGTTGACATGGGTTTGGGTTAACATAGTCTTAAAAAAAGATAATAATCCTTCTGGGTACATCTACAAAGCACAATTTGATATAGTACACCACTGAGGGAGCGAGCTGTGTCTGTGAGGATGTGTGTCAGTGTGCTGTGGGCTTGCACAAAGGGCAGCTGCCTTCTTTCAGGGTGTAAGTCAACTGCCAGAGGAAACCTCAGGGCTGCTAGTCCAAACACTTCCCACTGAGACATGATGCAGCCTCTTACCTTTTTGATACTCTCTCTGATAACTGATTGTTTCAAGGCAGAGTCAGTGGTGCCTAGCCTAACCTTAGCTCTGCCTTGTAAGGGGCTAATGCCTACCGTGTCAGTTAGCTCCATTAATCCAGGAGTCTGGAGCTCTCTCAACTCTCCCTGACCTGTGAGCACTTTTGACTCTTCCAGGACAAAATCAAACAAGTTAGCTGAGCCATCACCATCTGGCAGTGGTTTGAACCAACTTGTTTGACTTTGCCCTAGAACAGACTAGAAGTGCTTACACAGTCAGTTACTGGGTCTCAGCTGGAAGGTGTTAACCTGCAGCTGAGAAACAGAAAGGAACAGCTTTTAAATGGCCTGTGAACTGTGTGCTCGGGGTGAGAGGCATTACATGAGCCTATTGGCTTTCCCTGAAAGAGACAAAGTGAGCTCCTATGGCCCATGTCAATGGAGAGGTGATTTAACAAGCCAGACAGTCTCTGATGCTGGCTAGTGCTAGCATCTCATCCTCCAAAGGTGTGTTCCCTGCCTGTAGATGGGATTGCTGTGCCTGAGTGCGCCCACCTACTGCTCTGCGGGTGTGCTGCAAGCACCTCGGGACAGAGTCGTTTGTAGAGAGAGCCTTGTTTTGTTGTCTGCTTCAGAGAATGAGGAAGCCAGTTCAGCGCACCAGATTATCTAACAGCCTTCAAGATCTGAAAAACAAAATGACAACAACAAAACAAAAACACACAAAAAAGCCACTTTTCCCCTTATTAGTAAGCCGGCATCTCTATTGTATCATGTGATAGTAAGGAACTCATAACATCTGTACAATATTGATTCTGAGGAGAGTAACAAATTGGACCATGCATCAGGCTCTTCATTTACCACACTGGTGAAAGTTTGCACAGCAAACTTACTACAAATAAAATAGATTATACGCAAGATAGAGAGCTGTCTTGCAGACAGAAATGTATGTTTGGTTTCGGCAGTAATCAGTGCATTGTGCTTAAAGTTCATACACATCCCCTCCAGTATTTACCTATTAAAAGAGTTCACAGAAACTACGCTGTAAACCTGCCGGAATAATTTTTATTAAATAATTTTCATTGGTAAACAGGGAAAACAGAGCTGCAAGGAGGTTAAACTCTGGGCTTGGCTTCCCCACTAATGACAAACTCTGGCCCCAGAAATTGCTGAGACAGAGATGACAGGCTCTCGCAAGTACATGGGGTCATCCGTCCACCCCTCCTTTCTGTTGCTGCAGGGTACAGGTGCACTCCAGCAGAAGGACTGGGTTATTTTGAGCTTTGCTCACACACAAAGCAAAGCAAGAGGGAGGTGTGGATAGTGTCCACTGTCTTGTGGACTTGAGTCTCGTGCCACCTGTCTCGTGCACTTGAGCAACACCAAACCTTTCTTTCCTTACACTGTTTGAAGAATATGGACTACATGAGCACTGCAGCACTTTTGGTAGTTTTATTTCAGTACTTGATCATCATTTATAACCTGCCAGCCCTGGATGGTTCCCAGTCAAAATAACTTGTGTGTAGAGAAAAGGTTCCTAAGAGCAGGGATGCTACGCACAGGCAGGATTGCCAGTGAGCCCATTGCTCACATCTGCTCTGTGCCCTAGACTGGGAAACAGCGAGTGATACTCAAACTTACTGTAATCTTGGACAATTGTACCTCTCTAGCTTTGGCTGCCTATCTCTAAAACAGATGTTTTCTTCCCATTGCAATCTGCCTTGAGACTTCGTCTTATGTGTTGTATTATATTTTGGTATTATCACTGGTAGGCTTTTTCAAGTGGAGGAGGGACAGGAGGCCTTTTCTTTGTTAGGCTTTGATATCATCATCACAGGAGTAGGGGATCTGCTGTTCAGTGCATCATCCCAAACATTTCTGATGATAGCATCAGATTTTTCTCCTACTTGCCCTTTTCCCTAGAAAGGGGCTAGACTCTTTGGGTGTTGCCTGACAAAATTCAGGAGGTGGGTGGGTGCGGTGTGATTTTCTGGCTGCACTTCTCTGTAGGGTTACCCAGAGTGCAAAGGGCCCTCAATGCAGACAGGGAGCAGCCTGCACAAAAGCAACTATAGGCAGAAGATTCTCCAAGGCAGCATTTCTTCCTCCTGGAGCAACTTGCCAATAAAGAAGGAGATTATGCTGGAAAACAGCTGGGCTCTTCTCTTTTGTGTGTATTTGGCTGATCATCCTTCATGTGAACACATCAAACCTCTTGGAAAGATTCAGTTTAAGCCAGGTGTTGGTATTCACTTGCTGTCTGCACATCAGGATTAAGGAAATGGAAAGGGAATTTGTAAGCTAGTGAACGGCCATGTGTCTAACAGAGAGGAGGACCAGCATTTAGAGCTCACTCTTGTAATCCCACTGACTTCCCTTCCAGTAGTGTTCTGGCTGTTCACACAATAAACGTTGCTGCATGTCCTGCAGCTCGACCTAACTTTGGTGGCTTCTTTCTGCCTCCCTTCAGAGCTCTGCACAATGTACTTTCTTGACTGTCTGTGTATGTGCCTATGTACCTCAGGAACATCTCCGTCCTTCTTTCAAGCTTGGAAGATGTGGACAGACACTTATGGAATGACTGCAAAACCTTGTGTTCTTGGGAAATCTTGCTGAAAAGAACAACATTTTTAAAGACATCGAGTTTCAAAGCAGTGAGATGCAGAAGTTCAGCACTACATGGACTGTAGTGTCGAAAATAGTGATAATCTAGACCTTGTATCAGCTATGAACTATAGGACAGCAGACAGTTGTGCAAGTGCTCTTAATGAAGCATGTGCTTAAGTGCTTTGTTGAACTGGAACCACAGTCAGCCTGTGGCACATGGACTATTTTCAATTTGAAAGTCTCAAATTGTAGAGTCAAGTCCTGTAGTGTTTCAGGAAAAGCTCAAGGAGCTGCTGACAGCTCAGACAAATTGGTGTTTTTCTACCTGAGTTGTTGGCTGTTCAAGCTGAGCTCATAGCAAATCTTTGGGGCTTTGGGGAATCCAGTGACAAATCAGAGAACCTTGTTTAACTTGGCCATGGCTGAATGCTGTACATCCTTGTGAGACTTGGTATACATACTCCTCTGATTCACAAAAAACATCTGCTTCCCTTCACTGACAATTCCTAAGATGAGCTCTTGAAGGAAGAGAGCAAGGCTAATTGGATGAAATGCTGGTGATTCTCAACAGAGAAATTGCAGGTGTGTGCAGGAAGTCAAAGCCAAGTGTGCTGGATGAACACCTGTGTGCTGCCGCGGCTGAATACATCTGCTGTACCTGTTTCTCTTGGCTTACCCAGCACTGATTACTGGTGGTGCCATTAGGTGAATGGATTTCAGGGCGCTCAGCCTCCTGAAGTCTAAAGGGCATGGTTAAATACTCTGCAAGGCTTAGGAACGTCTAGGTATACTTTTGGGTACTTAATGTTAAGTATTACCAACATGTAACACTAGCTACAGACTGATGCTCTCTCACTTTGTCTGGTCTCTAGTCATGGTATTCTATACACCTCTCCTGTCTGTTTCTCCCAGTGTACCCGTCACACATTGTGTCCATTTTACCATGTGTTGACCAAGCATACCTGGACCTGGGTAGGAGTCTTGTTTGACCGGGCCTTTCCTGGAAATGGCAACCAGAGAGCCTGGCCCACCTGGTGGCACAAACTTTTAAAGTTCCATTACTGCTCTGAATCACACCTTGACTCCACACCCTGAGTCACATATTAAAATAAAACTGTGGGAAATAATAAAACCCACTTATATGAATGTGTTTTTTATTATACGAGTTCTTAAATTTTTTTTTATTACTGCTTTGAGGCCAACTCATCGTCTTTTGTTATGTTCATTACAAAAGGCTTTGCTCCAATCCCTGTTAACTCAAAGGGAAAGGAGTGCAGTGCTTGGGGAGAAGAGCAGTTCCTTGCTGGCATCCATTCCCATGTCCTCAGCGTGCCTCAGTCTTTACCACAGCTGCCCTACAGGAGCCCTCTGGGGTAGGTGGTGTTACAGAGGAGGTTGACCAGGCAAGTTTGCAGAAGACGACTCACAGAAAGGGGGTCAGATCCAGTTCTCTACAGTCTCATACCTAGTGCTCTAGCCCATGGCCTCTGTTTAAAGTACTCCTGAAATGAGCTACTGTCCTTTATCAAACAACTATGAAATAGTTTTCAGCCCTGCAGTTGTAATGCCAGCTCTATCCCCAGAAAAAAATGAAAAGCCTTTCTCACAAAGAGGTAGAAGATGAGATTGGAGGAAAAAAACAAACAAAAAAAGAAAGTAGGGATGGGAAGACTTGTTTATAGCTACTAATTAGAAAAGTAAATTGTTCCTACTGAAAAAGGAAAAATCTGCAAGACCATGTTTTTAATAAATATTTAAGCTCTGTAGATTGGAAAATGGCTGGAGCACCTTTACTTCCTAGGACTTAGTATAGTGAAGGGTTTGTATCTTGATTGAGAAATCCCTTCTCATCTTTACTTTTTAGGCATACTTGTTGGCCACACTACTCCTTGCTTACAGATCACATGCTCCATGCCACTTTCTCTCTACCTAAAAAGCAGCTGAATGTACACACGCTGAGTTCTTGACCAATGCTACACTGCAGTCTGGTGTCATACCAGAATAAAGCAATTTCTCCCTGCATCTCTGGCTACAGTTTCCAAAGCCCCCTTTTTAAAAAACAAAAATAAAAAAATGTCTCAGATACTGGTGTGGCCCAGCCTGAACTCTAGGAGTAGTTTGATATTCAAGACCTTCCCCTATTGCAGTGTAGGTTACTTTCTCTCATCCTTGCCACACATCTATAGGTAATCTGAATATCTTTTGGCTTTTGGAAGAGCAGGTGCTTCTGAGACAACAGCCTGAAGCCCTGATTGAGCAGATTAAGTCAGAAGCTGGCTTCCTACTTACTCTGTGGGGAGAAGGTGTTGAAGTCTTTATTACAGATGTGCTGTAGCTTTCTTCTGAAGCTTCTCATAGAGGCACTGGTCAAACAGGTGATTTTTGTGATGTGGGCTTCTAGTCATATAAAACTGTGATGCCACCAAATTTGCAGTTCACAGGGCACCCAAGAACTGTCTAGTGTTGAGTTGTGGTGGTGAATGACTTCCCTGTGGTCTTTTTGTATAAATTGTGTTCTGTCTGTTTCTGGACATGTATTAAATAATCCTCCAACATCAGAAATGCAATAAATGTTCCCTGACTGACCATCCACAAATCATTTAAATAGTATTCTTCTGGTTTATTGAATGTCTTTTGTGACATTTATTATTCTCTGCTTAGTAAAACATACAGGATCTAAAAATGTGGCGAGCCCACTTGATCTCTGAGGATGGCATGTATTTTAAAATGATTTTAACCTGTAGACTCATTAAATCATCAGACATTTTCTGCTTCACTGCTAGGAAATAAATAGAAGTTCCTGTCAGGTAATCAAAAACCCAATAGACCAAGAAACTGGCTCTTGAAAGATACAATAGATCAAAAACATAGCCCCATGTGGACCAAAATGCCTGGAAACTGGGCATCGTCTGAAAATAATGTATACAATGGTTGAAACCTCTGGGCACAGCTGTGAAATTCCTGCAGGTGTTTTATTCCCTGTTTCTCAGTAATTCAGGTGACTTTTGTAAGGCTAATGCCTAGGGAGCTCCCTTGGAAACGAAAACTAATGATAGATAGAAATAGAGATGGGGAGAAA